ATAGGAACTTTACCACCCTGGAAATGAAGCTCTGCTGCTTCCACCAGGGAAGACAGCAAAAGGAAGTCTTTGATACAGAATCCTGATGGAGTAGTGGTGATCCTGAAATATGGGCCAGGCCATGGCAACAGAGCATTCCTCGCTGCAAAATTTGAAGAAACTGCAGTGCCTACACCTGGAAGCCCAGCTCTCAGGAACTGCCTGGGTACCCCTGGGCACAAGGACAAGCAGCTGATCAGCCTCTCCTAGCTAGCTGCACTGAAGCATCTGCAACAAGTCAGTACTCTGTTCTCAGCCCTGTTTTGTCCTTGGTTATAACAGGCAAAGGAACTTCAGCTGGCGATAGTCCCCCTCAAATAATCTGCCTTTCTGGAGGGAGAACGGGAGCTGCTGAAAACAGTCCTGTGCCAAGGGGAGGAGGCTTCTGTCCTTCTCAGTCCTCAGCTCCATACCGTGGGCGGACAGTGTAACTCCTGTTACCACCATCAGGCACACATCTCTCTTCCCACTGCTATCAGGTGAGGTGCCAGCATTTCTGGTCGTGGAATGGATGTTTGAGAGCTTGGTAAAGAGAGTCACAAGCACCATGGGAAATTTCTATAAAATATTGGCAAGGGCACAGCTATGCCAGCTAGCTGTTACCTGTTCTGCCTGCCAGAGGACACAAAACACCTTGATTCTCCTTCATGAGAAAACTTGTGGAGTCTTGACGGTCTTTTTAAGAGAATGCTGCCAGCTACACAGAGCATGCCACATGGAGGACAGGACTGTGGTGGAAGCCACCTGTGTGACAGGCAGTGCCCAGAACAGCTTCGGAGGTTAAACCCATTCCAATAGCTCAGCTGTTGTTGGCTCTTGCTGGAAGGATGGCAAGCGAGCCCTTCCCAAGCCAGTGCCTGGGTGAGTCCTTTCTGTGGAGCAGTGCATCGGTCTGCACACAGAACCATAGGGAAGGCCTGGTCCCATCTGCATGCAGCTCCTGTAGACGTGAGATATTCACTTGGGCTCTACGTGGTTCTTAGTCTGCAGTTTATGACAGAGATTAGTGAAGGGCAGGAAAACTGGATTCCAGGGTGTAACCTACAAGGAGCTACATACAATATTTGTACCTTTGGAAGAGAGGGTTAAACTGATCCGCCAAGTTAAATGACGTAACTGCCACCTTTGAAAAGCCTCATTATCCGCTCCAGAGCTATCTGCCATTCGTACGACACCTGTATGTAAGGAGATAAAACTGTTGCAATTAGCTGTGATTTTCATCCATGCGCTTTACTTCTGCTTCCAACCAGAGTTAGTTCAAATTACTGTTTATGTTGGACACCAGTCTGGCAGCAACAGCAGAAGCTTAATAACATAGAGGTTCGTTTGTTTATTTATTTATTTGCTTGCTACTGTGTCTGCAGCACATTTCTAAAAAATGCCTGCACAGCTTCTTCCACTACTGGAAATGTATTAAGGGTAAATTATGCACCTCATCTTTACCAGCAGAGATGGAATATCACAGGAATCAGGGAAGCTGTGAACTCTACCACCTAGTCAGTTATTTATATGGAGAACCCATTAAACAAAGTATTTAAGCAATGAAATATCTTGCTTATTGTTAATAATATCCTGAATATGAGGAAGCTCATCAGCCAAGTTCTCTGGAGTCTGTGGTTATGCTGCATAATAACATAATAATCAACCACACAGTCAATGCCTATCCAGTAAACATTTTAATTTTATTCTATCATAGAGGAATACAGTGGTGCTATACTGATTTATTAAAAAGAACAATCACAACTCAATACCCTCTTAAATCAGGAGACTTAAAAAAAAATAAAAAAGGTTTTTCGGGAAATAAGAAATGTTTGCTTACCAGCAGTTGAGATTTTAGTTCATATTTTCCAGTAACAATATGGGTAAATACTTAAAATGCCATAGTTACCTCAAAGTCATGACTCATCTGAAATCAGTGGAGTTACATGAGTGACCACGTAAGGGAAGCATACTCTCAAGTCCCAAGAGTTAGGATATCAAATTTCTCAGTCCCTCAATTAAAGGCACTTACACACTACAACCAGTCTGGAATCCCAATTACATTCTGTGCTGCAGGAAGAAGTTTGGCCAGATTCAGACCTTCAGCTCTAATCCTATCTTCCTCTGACGTTTAGCTCCCTTCACTCACCGACCACAACTGTCAGCAATTCCATCTCCCATTTTTGTCTTTAGATTCGTCCAGTTTAGAATCTGATGCACAGAGACTTTAGAGGAGACAGAATTTACCTCACAACAGTTAGCAACACTACAAAAGATCACCCTGGTGTGAAATCAGGGAAAAAACAGACGTCACTACGCTCCCACCTCTACTTTAAATAAACCTAGCTCTGCGATTCAGTCTTCTGTGCCTAAAATAATAGTACCTACTGTGCTTTGAAGAATTAATTACTCCTAAATGTGCTGAGATATTCATATAGAAGATATTGTATAAAGACATGTAACTCTTCATTGCTGCAAATGTAAACAAACCCCATTTCACAGCACAGCATAACAGTAGTGAGAAAAGTCTGCGCAAGATAAATCCAGGAATTTCAAAACCCTCACCCATCCAAAACCACCAAACCAAACCAAAAATTCCAACATGGTTTAGGAAAGCTAGCAGTGTAAAAGTTTTATTCAGGTCCAAAGAAATAACAAAACCCTTTTGAAACCAAAAAGTATCTTTTCACTGTTGCAAAGAAACTTGAGTCATCAAACTTAATCATCTGGGTGTCCTTATTTTCAGAAAGGCAGGAGGAAAACGAAATGCCAAGTAATTCAAAGAGTAAGAGTACAGAAGTATAACCATTTTGCACAGCAAACATTACAGCTGGACACACAATTAGAATGGTCAAACACATGTTTTAGGGCTTAATTATCATACTACTGAGTTTCATATCCTGAGATTGCTCCTGGCAAGCTGAAACAGGGACTAAGTAGGAAATAGTCTGCTCCTCTCCTCAGGTCATTATGTACCAAACCTTACCAATAAATGTCTCTTTTTAGGCTTCAAAAAAAAAAATGTCTCTTTTTAAGTCCTCAGTGAGGACTACCCACGAGGGAAGCATCCAGGTTTCCTGCTGTGAATAAATGCTGTTCTGTCATATTTGTGCAATGTTTCCAATTATTTTGAGGTGCTACAGGGAGCGGAGTTGAGTGCATCGACTAACATTTGACTCAGAGACAGCAGTAGTAAAACTCTGCTGCATGAATCCAAGACCTGGATATGCTTCACTGCTGCAGATGTCCCTTGTCTTTTTTGCCAATAGGACCATTATGGTGATTTTTCCCCTCTCCTTCTCCACAATGACAAATGCCAGCACAATCAAAATTTGGAAATTTTCCCTGTGAAAAACAGGAACAGAAGAGTGCTAACCTAATCAGCTGTGCCATGCTTTCAACTGTGACTGTGAGGAAAAAACTGGCCAGGCAGACCGCCCTGCTTATGAAAGAATGATACCAGGTGCATCATGGTAACATATGAAATATCTGTAATAAATCTCATATCATGCAAGAGAAAAAAAATGGGGGTTCCATACTGAATATGCTGTACAATACTGCAGGTCTTCTTTCTCTGCATTTTAGAATGACATCATTGATCTTTTTGTATGAGTTTAATTACAGCCTCACTTTAATGCTGCCAGTAATAAGGAACTATTAGTACTGCTTTTAAAGAGGCAAAAAGCTTTATTAGATACTGCAAAGAGCTAGGCATGCTCTTAGAAATAATAAAGGGCAGTCAAGCAATTTCCTTTGCTCTGCCAAGAGCTTTTAAGATGTAAGTCAGAGGCTTGAAGCTTCACTAACAAAACATTTTTCTTGTTGCCACTTAAAAAAAATTCTGCTGACGTTTAATGACTAAAATGTAGGTAATGAAACTGCAACAATACTTTCATGCTTAAGAATGACAATACAAAGTAGTTCTACTTTCATTGAAGAGATGACTTAAAAGACTGGCACTATTTTGGACTCTAAAAATACAAGGATCAGTGCCACCGAAGAATACATAGAGATTTTTAGGGAACCCAGACTGTGGATACAAAGGTTCATCTCAGAGTTGAAATTTCAAATAGCAACACAGTAATATCAGGAAACATAATGTGTATATACTGTTCAAAAGAAACAACTCATCCACAAGATAGGCTCTGAAGAATCCTTAATAAAACGTCTCAATTTTTCTTTAATTTCTACCCATTACTAGTCTAAAGTAGCTGGAAATGGTGCCGTGCTTCTAAACCGTGCAGACAGAAAGTGGTGGTCAACACAGGATCTGTGGGAAGCCAGGTTTGAAAAAAGTTTGATTTGGAGGTGTTTTGTCTTCTCTGCTAGAGTAAGAAAGCTCATGGAATATAAAACAACTTTAAACTGTAAAGGGACTCCCCTGTATGGTATCATGTCAGAAATCAGACTGGCTAGTAAACTATGCTGTCGGTCTTTTTAAAAGCTATTTAAAAGCCTAAGAAAGGCACATTCAGCTGTCCCAACATTAGACTACTTGTGAGGCTCTCTTTGCTGCCTATGCTGAATGGGGATGCCCTTGGATGGAATTTTATCTGAGATTTACTATTTTGAGTAGTGAGATAATACTCCAGGTTACATCAGTCTGCCACCGCCACCTTCTTGATTGAGGTCAAAAACATTAGAGGCTTCTTTGTTTTCCAATGGTTGCTGTGTAGTCAAAGAGTTCAGGGATCTACCCAGTGTATAAAGACATTACATGTTCTTTAAGGTTTTCCAACTCCCTGACACCCAGAATTGCTGATGAGAACCAGAATGGAAAGGGTCAGAAATCACCAGAACAAAGATGGCAACTAGAAGAACAATTCTGTTAGGCAGAAGAACACTTACATTAAGGCTGCCAAGAAGACAGGCCAATCCGGGTTTAGTATTATAATAAGGCATGTATACATTCATTTTCAATTTAGAAACTTTCAGCTAAATTTTTTAAAAAGCAATTGGAAGTTCTTGGCATTAATATTCAATCAGTGCTTTAGTTTTGGAAGCTGCTTCACTCCTACAGTCTTTTTAATCGATCCTTTTTGAGGATTAACCATCTTCGGGTTTCGTGCAACACTGTATCTTGCTCTGAAATAAAATAGGTGAAGTTAGTCATCAAGTGTCACATTCCCTTAAGCTTTAACTGCTAGAAATTTGCATGCTTTTTATATTTGCATAACTGATTACTATTGTGAATTAATAAACCTGAGAGAGGAAAAAACAAGTATATTTCTGGGTTTGCAGGCTAGCAGAGCATCTGATTATTCTGCATACAAACTCAATTCTCATCTCATGATTCCTGACTAATTCCTTTTACCTAAAGGATGGCATTTGAAAAACATGAAGAGAATACTAAAATATTTGCACAAAGAGAATGATAACTGGCTAAGGAGACATTTTCATCAGTTACATAATCCCCATTAGGAAATGGAACACTTAATGTTGTTGTAGTTACAGTTCTCTGCAGGTATTCCACTCTGGAGACCCATGCTCTTGAGCCAATGATCTTCCATCAGAAATGCTGCCAGCAGACTTTTGAAGTGGTACGCACCACGGATACAGACACCACCTACATGAAACCTACTACAGCTGTTTTCACCTTGATCTTCTAAGAGAAATCAGTGGGAATGTAAACAAATCTCCAGGGGGGGGAATGGTGATTCCACAAACTGGAAGGGTCATTCTCATGACCAAGCAGCATGCATCTCTACTGTCATCACAACGTACCTTTGTTTCTCTCCCTGTTCATTACTACAGTGGACAGACAGCACTTTACATACTCAAATGACAATATACAGGGTTTCAACATCTTTCTCAATAAAGGCATTCTGAAGGAAAATGTATCGCAACATCACATCATTATAGTCACGATGATAGCCAGAGAAATATTTTGTTATGCGGTAGACGCTGTGATGATATGATCTGTGCACGTTTCACATTTCTGGGCAAACAGCCAACAAAGTTGTCCCCAGGCCTTGCTTGTCTTCTTGAGATGGTCACATCCTTTGTTCCAGCTCTTACAAGCAGTCAGGGTCTTGAACGGAGAGCTGCCCCCATAGAGATATGGAGCTACTTCTACACCGAGCTTGGAAGACCAGAACCCAAGGTCTCAGTTTGTTCAATAATTAATTGACTACTCACATTCAAATCAATTGATGACTCAAAATCAATTTATTAATCTGTAGATCACTGTAGAGATGGAACAAGCAGACAGTGTCTGTCTGTGTGGATTTCTGCAGGCAGCAAAACCTCATTCCACTCAAAACCAGCTGGACTTACGGACTTGGAAGCCAGGTAGCTGCAGCCAGTGCAGTGTTGAAACTGAGCTAAGAAGCCCTGCTATATGCCTCAGTGTAACAGCATGGGCTCAGAATGACATTAAATTGGCTGCTCAGATTGTATCAGAGACATGAGTCAGCAAGACATCCATGTTTTTCTCAATTGTCAGCTAGCCTACCATCTTCTTGTCCTGTGAAATACCATAAAAAGGACCTCTACTGAACTTGGCTTCTATGTTTGGATGGCCAGGAAACTGAATACATCAACATTTAGTGTTCACAATTATTACTCAAAAATGTTTCAGTGCTGCTTTAATATACAGGTTAGGGTTTCCATACCTGTACCTATAGTTAAACATTAAGCATAGTTTCTTAGTATGGTTTGAAATCCAATGAAGGTAGGCGCTTTCTGCAAGGCCAACGAAGTGAGATAAGAACTCTGGACAGAAAATTTTCAAATTATTCTCAAGAACACATTTCTTTTCAATCATGCAGGTCTTCTCTTATTTGAATGAAATTATTTCTCATTAATGTCAGGTTGAATGAACAACTTTTAGGTTGTAAATCAAAACGTAATTAAAAAGGAATGATACAACAATGTCTGTGTTAACCCTGTGATGATCAAGGGGTGCTTACTTGCATTTTAGTATTTCCTTAAAATACAAACTATGCCAAATCCCCATTCTTATTTCCATGTTGCCAACTAAGACCAAAGTTTGACCTGAAAGTTCTAAGTCACTGGTTATAAAAGCCAATGCTTTGCAAACTGGGTCCTTTGGTACTAAGGACAATTTAGAAGATGATCAATTCCCTTCATGTGCATAAAGTTATTTGAAAAGTTAAAAAAAAAAATCCTCTGAGGGAAAATGGGCTGAAAGGAGATATTTTGTTACAATATGCATCTTCTGAGACCAGAAATTACAGGACACTTCATTTTCTTTTGTTTGATATAAAGAAAACTCCAGAAACCTACTCTCATATAATTTCAGGGTAAGTAATGGTCTACTAAAATAAATCATAGAAAACCCCCAGAATAATCACAGATCAGTGCTAACCCTCAGCAAATCTCAATATCTGGCTGATGATATTTAATCTCCCAGCAGAGACAGTGAATTCTCCTAGTTCTAGCTTCCCAACCTTCTCCACATAAGCTATGTAAAACATCACTGGGGCCAGAAGCAACACACTGGCTATACGTGGGGTACCTCAGACCCATACAGTGTTTTTTTCTATATTAAGAAGCTCCAGTTACAGACTTTAATTCATATTGTACTACATTAATTCATATTCTACTAATATCCTTTCCTGGAGCATGAAGATCCACCGTTCCAGTTTATGAAATCCTGTGATTCTGTGCTTACACAGTATGAAAGGATAAAGTTGGTAAGCCAGTATGTCTACACAATTTCATGCTCATAATTTACTCATTACATTTTCAGATATTCCAAATACATATTGCGTATGCTCATTTTAATAATATAGGTAAGTGGATTCATGGAAGAGTATTTACTATGAGATACTAAATACATAGAAACCATCCTAGCTCAGGAAGTCTCCAAATATAAAGTATTTGGGAGAGTTCCAAAAGCAAATATTTTATCTGCCTGCTTACACGCTTTTGTAGGTATCTACTTATGGTTACTGGAGGCAGGGTACGGGGTCCAACACACTTTTGCTGTGATTCCTTATAATCTTCGTACTTTATATTCTTAACATTTTCAGTTCAGTTAAAAAATAGATCTCCTCCAAGCACTACAATCAGAAATTAATTTTATTTCTATATAGTGCAGAGCAGGTGGGCTCTGTTAAAATTTAAATTTCTAACCCATATAACTAAACAGAAATCTGTTAAACAACAAAGCCTTTATACGTTGTCACCTAAAATCACTCACATTATCATCCACAAAAAGCTTTACAATCTCTATTGGCTAAAAAGAACCAAGCAAGGCATTTATTTAATTGAATTACTTTTAATGGACTAAAGGGTATACTTGTTGCTCCCAACTCTGCAGTAATATAGAAAAAAAGTATCTATTTTAAACACAGGTTGAAAGCGAAGACCATCAGACATATTGTAAGGTTTCAAAAAGGCCACTTAAACATAAGTATTTTCAGTATTGCAACATACTTGGTATTAAATAAAACTGACTGAAAAGCAGTATCAAAAATGATGTTAAGATTAATACTTTTTATGTAGGATTATGCTCAGTGATATTTACCATGAACAGAAAGTTGCAATATTCAAAACATAGTACGTAGCAAAAAATAATAAACCAGAAAACAGGGAAGATAAAGGAAATTTACCTCAGTATCTGGTTTTCTCCCTTGCCTGTCAGAGCATCTGGTTTTTGCCTTTCAACAATTTTAAGTGTAGCTGAGGTCTGCAATAGCCAAATTTTTACAAAACAAGTTAAATCCTAACCACAATCACAGTTAAGAAAGTAAAATATTTCCAAACTAATTTGGAGCCACTATGGTCTTACTGCCATAAGTGTTTTAAACACATACTATACTGATGCCTTGTTGATTTGGGGAATTGAACATATGCTAAAATCCCTTGCTGTGGAAAAATACCATTATTTATCAAGCTGGATGATCAAAGAATATGTAATTTCAATCAGCGGATTTTTGGTCATACTGCCTATAACTCCACATTTTCAATGAAGAAGCATTGTATTTCTAACATACTTCCCTGAATGAGAAACAAAACAAATTATAGTCACTTGGTTGTACTTTTGAATGATTAAAATATTAATGAAGAACAGGAGCTACTTTAAAAAAATTAACACAGCATGGAAATCTCTGCAGACTCGGGAAGTCTACATTACTGGACATACTGAAAAACAAACAGCTATTACCCTTGGTTTTACATTTAACAGAATCTGAGCAGGATTAAATCAGTTGGTTCTCCTGTTCCTTAGCTCTCAGGGTTCCCTTCTCAGCCAGCACTTGCTGGCTCATTCAGCTGCCTTTACCAGAACTATCTCTCAGAGGGACAGCTACGCCATGGGCAGAAAACGCGGACGGTTTAGGGCTTGTCTGGCTGCTGTGCACACTTGGGTGTCTAGTGTAAGTGAATGGAATTTTCTCAGACCCTTTAAACAGAGCCATTAGGAACACATAATAAATATATGATAATCATGATATACAAAGTATCAGCTACACCAGACCACTAAAGACTTTTTGAAAGCCTAGAGCTAGATTTTGGGGCTACCTAAACAAGGCTTAATGTTTGGATTATTACATTACATTACATTACAACATTACATTTTATAGCATGTGCGAAAAGATCTTGCACTTGTGAGAAAAAATTCTGGCACTGAAAAGAAGCATGTCTCACTGCTTATAAGACAACGGTTTCTACTGTGCTTCCACGTATACAATGTAGTAGGCAAGGATTCCCGACCCAGTCATAAAAAGTCAGCTATAACTAAAGCAGAGTCTTTTCAGAGTGCAAGCGTCAAAATGGAATAGGATCTGCACAGATTTACTTTCTTGAAGGCAAGAAATTTTTTGCACCCAAGGAACTCTAGTACCCATCTTTAGATGATGGCTAGTATAATTTATCACCTTTCTGAGCGGATGTGATTCTGTGACACATGAGGCAAGACCTATGCTATGATTGCCTTCACTGTTTTTTTAATTTATATGAATACAGAGTGCTAGTATACACAATTATTATCCATAGCACTGTTTTTGCTGGTACAGTTTACTCCAGGCCTATCCCAACTCAAATGAGCCTTGCACAAGCAGCTTTCCAGCTGTACCCATCTATAATTGTGGACTTCTTCTGCAAAGAAATCCCAATCACAAGCTGGACTCAACTATGCTAGTAAAAGTTTGTGGTAAAAATCTGGCCTGAAAGAACGGTCCTTTTAAAGATCTGCTATCGTTCTTCTGTGCCTGCTTTTCGAACCAATTTCTGAATACCACCAGAAAGTGCTTTGAGATTTCTGAAGCCCAAACCCCAAACCAACATTTTTTCAGACTGAAAACAAAACAAAAAAAACAAACAAGTATATACCATAAACCATCGGTGCCTCTAGCATGAGCTCTCAAGTTTCTGAAATCTTTAATTTATTTTAAAACTATTATTGCAAATTTACTATATCCATATGGATTCAGGCAAGACAAACAACAAAGGCACTCAGAAGATACATATATTTTGTAAAAAAGCAGAAAAGCACTCTATAATAAAAAAGGTAAATAAAAGAAATGGCTGCTCAGAAGCTTCTCTCTCTTCTGCTTCTGCCGCAGGCTTCAGGAAGGATCCAAAACAAAGTAGAAAATACCCCAAAACATCTGGGATTTTTAACACCTACCAGTAAAACTTCCATTCTATGGTTGTTTTTTTTACTGTGAGCTATAGAAAAGCATAAACATAATGAGGAAAAAAAGGCCTAAAAAGACATTATATCCATTCTCTGTAACTAAGAGAGTGTCACTGGAATATATTGTTGTCACAAGATAACAATATCGTGTAGTATATTTACTTTGGAATGTATGGAAAATGGTAGCCTATGGGTAAATCCTTCTAACTCAACTGCCGCGAATATTACCGTGCAGGCTCTAGAACACTGGAAGTTTAATACAGCTGAAAGAGTCTGGACTGAATGTAAGTTTACTTCTGCCTCTATTGTTAAAATGAACTGTTAAAAGGAAGAGCATACATATGCAGATTGTAAAATAAAATAAAAGCAACAATCAAATCAAAGTCATAGCAGAAGAGGATCTGAAGGGACGGGATGAGCCACTGATTCTTTTGCAACCAACAGTAAACCATGATTAGGTTGACTGCCATGTTCAGATTAGCAACGTAAAAGGTAGATATCTAAACTACTCACCGAGGCTCAGTTTAGTTCAGGAAGAAAAACAGGTAAGTCCCTGGCAAATTAATTTCATCTTGATCTAAAACAAGTGTGATGGTTTGCACCTTAAACACGCTTCCCTGTCCAGAGATTACAGAGGATCCCTCTACAACTCCTTTAAATTGGCTGTTTAACATTGAGAGAACTAAACATAGGGAGATTAATCTGAAGATTGTTATTTTGTTCTGAAATCATGGGGGCAAATAATTGATTACAGAAAATAGAATGCACTAAGTACCTTGAGTATCAGTGGCAAAATCCTAGTCCCTAATGCCCAATTTAAGCAACATGCCAGTACATATACCTCACTTCAAATAATGTTTTATGCATGTTTAAGTGCTTTTCTAGGCAGCTGAACAAAGGCATTCCTTTTGCCAGCATGTTCAGTAATAAAAGCATCTTTTATTTCCTACCTTCTTCCTCCAGCAGTTCCCAGTTTCACTGGTAACGCAAAGATATTAACAGTTATCATGGGCATTTCCTGGGCTTTTTCTTGGTTTCATGCTGGAAAGTTAGTTTAAGCAATTCTTTCAGATTTCCCAAAGCAGCAATGAACTACGTAAGACAATCAGTTACCCACTGTGCAAATACATGGAAACACTGCTAATTACAGCCTTTCACCCCAGTTAGCTATGACAGGGATTCAGTGACAGTCATTCCTGAGTGTCACACTAAGCTATTACTTTTACATTATTCAGGAATTAAGAGCTCTCTCAGAATAAGAAGTAATCGAAATCTTTATAGGTTCCTTTACAGGTTCCTCCAGTTTGTGGTATCAACTTTTATGTATTACATAACTCGCAGCAATAAAATTTAATCTCTGATTTCACCGAAACAAGGTATCTTATCCCTTATCTTATAAATTTAATTGCAGTATGTGCCATGTTGTCATTCTGAGCTGGCTGACTAGTTTGTCTTTGAAAGAAAAAAGGAGAAATGTGAAAAAGAGGAATTGCGACTTAAGGTGGGTGTCACTACCTACTGCTAATTATTTGGTTCTGCTCTTTTCAACTGAAACATTAAACTAGCATAGCAGTCTTTCGACTAATGGATGGGCAAGCAAGTATCAGAAAATTGCTTCACCTTTCTCACTTAAGGGCGCTTAGACTATCCTTGGGAACAATGAGACTCCAATTGATACAAAAGCAAAAAAAAGTATTTAAAATAAATAAACTGTAGCAATTCTTCAATTTCCAGCTCTCAAAATTTTTAAAAAGCACCTTTTGTAATGAATTTGGCAGATGAATGAAGTGACAAAAGACTTTGACCTAATGGTGTTAACAGATGTTGTTGCTATATTAAGAATGCATAATGATTTTTAAAAGATACTGAGTCGCACATTTTTCTTACCTGTAAGATCTCTGAGAGGTACATGCGCCGCTCATCATTAGCTTTGTGGTAAGCCTACAGTTAAAATGAAGGATATAGACTACCATTAAGCAAAATATTTTAGAAGTTGAATCATACAGGAAGAAATAAATATACAACAGAGCTTTTTTCCAGTGACATGTTTTGTGGGACTACTCTATTGTGTGTTCCACATACATTGTTTGTCAGACAACAATTTTACAGATTGGAGGCATACAGTGACTACAAACCTTTGCTTCTTGTTCCAGTCTAAGTTCATAGTCTTTTAGCTGATTCTGGAGACTTTTCTTCTCTTCTTCTAGTTGTTTAAGAACCTCCTTTAAGGAACCCTGTAGTTATAGCAAATAAAACAATGTTTTACAAATATTTCCATTCTGTATAAAGGTATCACCATCATCATAGTCCTCATTCTTCAAGCATTACGATGTTTGTCATCCTATTTGCTTCCTGTGCATTTTTTGTTTACATGGTTCTGGCTGGCACACTGCAGAGACAAAAGCAATTAACCATATGCTACAATTATCAGTTATGCACTACACATTTCCACTGTGTTAAAATGATACAGATATGGTTTTCCACACTGCTGCTCCTTGATAGATTAGCAAAGTCACCTTTTAGTGACCAGCCAGAATTGCTCCTTCTAACCAAAGACTCTGATGGCTCCTTTTTAGTAGGAGGAAGATTTCAGATCTCACCTGCACATTCATTTTCAAACCACTTGCCGAGGAGCTGCTGGACCCGCTGAAGAGGCCCACGGGATGTCAAAGGTAACTCATAACAACTTGGTTAGAAAGCAGTATTTTGTGGGGAGACTATCTGTCTTAGGTGTGTAGCCATCTACCTTGTCTACAGTTGGGATGAGCTACAGTAACAGTGGTAGAATCCATTATTGGTCACTGGCAGCGGCCACCTCTCTGCTTGCTGCGTAGTGGAAGTAGAACGCACACCCAAGAAGGTCCTCCTCCATTTCTAACACAGGAAACTGCTTCTCATAATCCCTTTCATAAATTGATCCACTTCATCCAGTAGAGACATTCTTATTGAGAGGCTCTAATAGTAGATGGCTTTTTTAATTCCTTGTCTTAGATTATTCAAGGTCAGTTTATACCTGTTTGTTCTTGTATTTAAATGATTTTTAAGATAACTGTTCTTCTTCCTCCCTGGTGTTTGCCCCCAGCATGTAAGACAGAAGACAGGAACATCTTTTTTCAACATACATTTTACTAGGATAAATAAGCTGAGCTTTTAAAAATGCTCTTTCACACAGCAGGCTGTCTTTTCATCTAATCATCATAGTAAACCCTTGGTACACCAGGCTGGAGCTCAACCTTCTTATGGTTGGAGAACAGAACTGTACTAGAGTATGCAGTACTCCAGAAGCCATCTCACTGCCTTGAACAATGTCAGTAATACTTCTTTATCTGTACAGAGAAATTTTAGGATTGCATTTTCCTTTTCCACAGCTGCATGGTGATGGCTTACGGTCAACAAGGGATCACCTAGAATACCCAGATTCTCCTCTGCAGCTATGTCCAGGTGATCAGCTTTCAATTCATAACAATTTGTTTACTATTTCCTAAATCCTTTGGGCTACACTATTAAATTTTAATCCCATTTTTAATAATCTAGTCTTCAGTGTCATTCTTTTTCTAAACAACATCTAGATCCCTATTATATTACATAATTGGCATCAGAAGAAAGATATCATAATCTATTTCTACTTTGTGGATCAAGGTCATGCATTAAATGCTAAGATCAGTCCTAAACCTGGTCCTGGAAGAACTCTGCTTGTACTCTCCCAGCAGCCTCCTCCACTAGTCACCACTATCATGTTCCATTTGCCAGCTCTTTACTCCTTCAATAAATCTACTAATTTTCATTTTCTCCAAATTAATCAGTTGCTTCCTGTGTGACATGGTATCTTTAGCAGAGGTCACAGTGAACATGATAACTATATGTATTGTAACAACAAATCTATTGTCTCATCACAGAACGTCAACAGGTTTGCCCGCCATGTGCCACTCTTAATAAATCCGTATTTCAGTCTCGTTTTGCAACAATTATTCCTCTCTTTCTCTATCCTAAAACAACAACAAAAAATTGCTTTTCTCCAATGCCATCATCCACAGCTTTACTAAAACCACTTGCTATCGGATCAGTGATGTAGCAAGCCAGTTCTTTCAGAATCCTAAGGTGCAGATTACCCATTTCCCTCAATTTAAGCATATCCAGCTCCTTGAGTTTTCCTTAGGATTTGGTTACTGACATTTCCTCTTCCAAGCACTTGTTGACATTACCTATTTTGTCCTGCATTTTATTGTTTCTGCCTTTACTGAAAACTTAGGCAATAGATACATGTTTAATTTAAAATGAATGAATTTATGATCACGTGATCTGACTTTTTTTTGACTGGCTTTTCGTCAATGTTCTTCTAGATTTTCAAAATCTCAAACAGCATTCCCTCCTTTTTATCCAGTATTTTCTGATAAAAATGTGTTAACTGTCACATCCTCTAATCCATCATTATTACTAGCACTTGGTTTTCAGTCTTTACTTACAAGTATCACATACAATGCAATTTCTGGAAGTAATCTAATAATCGATGTATGGATGGGATTCTAAGGTGAGGACATCTACATTTGAGTGTCCATATGTGAACTAAGCTCCTACTAAGAGTCACAGTCAATACAATCAATGATGCACAGCCATTCGTTCAGCTGAGCAGCTGAAGAGCTCAACTCAGGTGCCATCTGAGATGCCCTAGAGTGTCCAAGACATTCATGTGTGGCAGATATGACACATGGGTTACAGGAGACACATGTGCTCCTGGAGCTACACTGGGCTACCCTGCACCGAAACATCTGCAAGTCTCTTTGTTTGCACAACTATTCCACTGAAGATGCCTACTTAGATATATCTAGATACAACTCTTTATACTCAGCTGACTGTATTAATGGGATCTGCACAACCAAATCGATTCTGTGATTCTGTGAATTAAAGATCTAGCCAAGAGGTAGACATCTATGTATAAAAAAGAAAATATTGGTGTCCTAACATTTAAATGAGTCATCTTGTTTCAATATGTATTTCAATATTATTTCCCAATATTATTATGATTAAAATTTGTTTTCCTATCCATCCTCAAGATGAATCAATCCAAACAGGTGATGAAGAAAGAACAAACAACATTAATGTAAAAGCCTCTCCCATCTGCTACATACCACGTCAGTCTCTGTTTTCATCTTTCCTGCCAAGTGCATACCTTTAATACTTGTTATCCCATCATGTTTTCATTATCAATCTTATTACATTTCAGGCTAGTCAGGTTCTTCCATTCGTCTGCTTACGGCCCCCATGTAAAGTATCTGTTTCAGAATTTTCGCTTCTTTTTATTTCTGCCTCAAGCATCTCCCTAGTCAGAATAGCTGAATCCTTTCACTTTCTGTTTTGTTTTTTTTTTTTTTTTTTTTTTTAAAAAAAAAAGTTGGACAGAAGAGCTGCATCTTTCAAGAATGTTTCACACATGACTGAACTGTTATTAACTTTAATCTGTTACAACAGACACACTGGACACACTAAAAGAATTGGGTTTTTTTGTTTTTTCCTAATTAAAGCAGAAGTACCTTGGATGCAGATGAAGTCTTTGTCCTTATACAGAAGGCTCCTACAGTCAATACAGTCAACATTGCCCAATTCAAGAAGAAAAAGTAAGCTGCAGATTAAAGAGAAGATTTGGCTAAATTCCACTAGGGTCATGTGCTATTTCATTACAAAATCAGTGTCTGTACAGTATTAAATAAGACAGATAAAGAAGGCCTCAGCACGATCAACCTAGGAAAGTATTTTTTTTTTGCCTTCTTGACCTGACTGCACATTAAAGATTATAACCATGGGACAGTGGGGTTTGTACAGCATATTTTGTACCACCTATAACATATTTTGTACCACCACAGTAAGCTTAAATATAGTAAATACAAAAGTTCATGCTGCTCTCCAGATTTGTTCTATGTAAACCCACAGCCCACTATGTATTTCCTCACTAGATTGTCCATCAGTGCTATGTATGATGGCAAGACTTAGCGTTGCAGCTCACAACAGAGCAATTTGGTATCTCCTCAGTGACGGCACTCATCTAATTTCTTTGAGTTCTTTCACCTACAAAATAAACTACTTTTAGATCTTTTTTCATTTAATCTTTCCAGAAGCGCTGCCTATTTTTTACTGCCAATGCAGCTGGTCCAGTGCACATGCCTGGGCGTTCATTCAGCTCCGGAGCAAGGCCGATATCCAACCGCAAGTAAACGGTGTACTACGCTGCTTCTGATGAGCAAGCAGACCGAAATAGGTTGATAATGTGACTGAAGTATACAGTTACCATCCCTCCAGTATCTGGCTGCCTCATAATTTGTAATGTACCTATGTTTAAAATTCTCCTGTGAAATAAGAAAGTTATAAATTACTCCCAATTTACAGATTAGGAGAATCAAAAAGGGACTAGAGTCTAAATTGCACTTTAGGCAGAACTTAACATCCTAATGCTAATAAAGCAATCTATGCAATGTCTTATATTCTTCACATCTGGTTTTGTCATATAACTTAGACAGGCATCTGAGCCATTGCCATTGTCGTTGTCCATAAGCACAAGCTTAATTGAGCTGCTTAGTTTGCTGCTGAAAGCCTTTATGAAGTCCCAAAGTAAAGCTTCCTGGTGGTCATCTCCGTGATGGGGCACTGACATGCACAACCTGAGAAGCACGCTCCATCCATATTACACGAGGAAGGAATCCTCTTCTGCCTAACAGCCTCAACATTAACTCACAAAGAAATTAGATGAGATACATTTTAGTCCTCTGTGACTCTAAGAGCTTGAATTCATAGCATGTCATATCCTGAGGGTGCCCTTGCCATCATACTTAACTAGTGCTGAGATAATTTTTGAAGCCAGGCCGTTAATCAGTCAGAAATGCAAAATTTACATGGATGGAGAAGGAACAAGTGAGAAAGGCTGCAAGGTCATGCCTGCTTCTGGAAAGGAGGCAGGATTTCAGACACAATTCTTGGGTGTTTCTTACCAACTTTCCATTGGTCTTCCATCTCTATTGCGCACTCTGCTGTGAAATCCAAATCTAGCTGCCTCTCTCCCAGTTAACACCTAGGAAACTTAGGCAGCTAATTCAGCCTTCTGACTTCTATTCCTGGGCCCACACACCTAATTAATGATGCAGAGCTCAGAATGGCAATACTGAAGTTCTTATGGGAATCTAGCAACCCCAACATTCCTACTAAAAGACCACTCCAAGTCCTCAAACACTACAAAATGCAATTTCAA